TAACTTTATCACATGGCCATGCAACAGTGGTACCAATACATTCTTCAATACAAGTCATATCAGAAGTAGGCCTCCACAAGAATGCATCAGGTTTCATAGCCAGTTTTTTCAATAAGTCATTGATTGTCCTCTCCATATCTGCCACTTGAACCTTTAGATGATTTTGTTCTTCCTTTAAATGAGCTATGCTAGACTCCTTTTGAGTTAATATGGAATACTTTGTGCAGCAAACTCCACCTCCAATCCCTCGTAATCATCCAATATTTTCCGAACCAAGTACTTTTGAAAGAGCATCTTCTTTTATATTAGTGTTAGAGGCATGTTGATTCCCATCTTTCAATTTTTCCTAGAATACAGTATATAAGTGAATATATGCTTGCACGCACGCGCGCGCGCACCCACACATAAATAGAACTAAAGAAAATAAATTATTTATACTTACAAGCATCTCTTCAACAAGTTTGCATATAGGTTCACTATTCTTTTTTATATGTGCTGCTATCCAAACCTCCTTTCAACCTATAGAAGATGGATTGTTGCTCTTCTTTTGCAAAGAGAATGCAGAATAATATAATAAGAATCTAGTGCAAATGATTTACTTGGTAAAATTAAAGATGGTTTGTTGAATATTACCATATCTTCAAGCAATCTAGCAAATCCCTTAAGACTGCATGTATGTGGGATTTGTTTTTCTCGAATTTCTCTAAACCTTTTGCTTTTAGCTTGATAATTAGATTTCCAAACTTATATCAGGTCAGCAATAATTAATCATAGCTTAGTACAGATTTGATCTCAGAAAAGGAAAAATTAAGAATGTACCATAAATTATGTACTTGTCTTTTCCTTCACAAATTTCTTCCATTGTTGGGGTTTAAGTATATTATCATGTTTGAATTTCATTCTTTAGCTTCATTTGGTGCTTCTCTAATCTTTTTCACAAGTCGAGACTTTGATGCTCTCTAGAGTCCACCCATTTCTTTAAAAATGTAATCTTTTTGTCATTCTTCATCAACTTTGAACATTTGCTGCAAGTTATAAATTTTCAATTTAATGCAATATCAAATATATATTACATTGTCTTATATAACCACGAATTATTTTGAAGGACGTACCTAAGTATCTTTTCACATAACAAGTTTCATATCATCTGAAAGATATCGCCAATCAACAAGAGAATAAGGTACAGTATCCCTCACAAGATGGCCTAAAAATGAAGATAAAGTGACCGATAGCAATTGTCCCATTTCATTAAACTTTACGTCAATTGGAGTAATGACTTCGTTCAAATTTTCCATCTGGGTGGCACCTCTCTTCTTCTTTTGAACTTGTTGAGTCTCTCCTTGAGATAGTGCAATAGTTTGTTGTACTAGACTGTATCTTCCACATGTGTTCTTTGGTTTTCATTACCACTCATGTCTACATCATCTCCTGGG